TATCCAAATTATTATTATATTATTATATTTAAAAGAAACATGGAATTATTTAGTTGGTCGCTCTTTTTTATTTATTTTTGGTTAATTTAAAATATTTTTAAATTAGAACTTTAAAAGCGTAAGGAAGTTTCAATTCGGTTGAATAGGTAGTTTTTATTTTTAAATGTATTTCAAAAATAGATAATTGAGTTTAAAATTTAAAACTTAAAATAAATTTCTTATTAATTAATAAAATCCTATTCTTTAGCAACATGAAAATGTGGATAGAATTTGCTGACATGTGTTTTTTTTTTTAAAAAAAAAGTCATATTTCTTTATTAGATTTAATTTTTAAATATTAAAATTTCAAGATTAATTGTGGTGCTGACATGTATGTTGTTTTTCTTCTCCTATTATATATAGATAGATATACGTTTTTTTTTTTTTTAATCAAGATTAATTGTGGTGCTGACATGTATGTTGTTTTTTTCTCCTATTATATATAGATAGATATACGTTTTTTTTTTTTTTTTAAAAAAAACTAACTATTTTAATTGGCTAAAAAAACTGTAACGTTTCTTTTAAAAAAGCAACTTAAAGCAACTTATTTTCTTTGATTAAATATTGAATTAATTCTATTTAATAAATTAATTTTTAAAGTTAAAATTAGAGATTAATTGTGGTGATGACACGTAGGCGCTATCACCTCTCCTATTATATATATATATATATAGATATAGATTAGAATGACCTAATACAAGGCTCATCCCATAACACTTATACATATTATTAAATTTACTAATAAAATTATAGCTTATGCAATATAGAATGCATCCTCAGATATCATTTTAGGAATCACCTCAATTTGCAATTTTACTTCACCACATTCCACATTTTGACACCATCTGGAAGGTCTTGATGATAGCTCATTTCCAATGCTTTAAGATATGGTTTGATGTCTATCTTTGCTTCACCTATTTTGTCATCTTTACTAAATGTATCTTTGTCATACACAGTCTGAAAATATCATAATCATCAAATTAAAATTATCTATCGAGAAATATTAGTAGCTTAGTTGGTTGACTAATTAAATTTTTACCTTCACTACAACAAAAAAGACATTGACATAATACATAAATATGACCCTTAACTTGGCATCAGATGACAACTACGACCTTTAACTTTGGATGTGCACAAGTGGACACTTAAACTTTTAGAAAATTGAACAAATGGACACATTCGTTCTACATGGCACCATACATAGGAATTTTGTGTGCTACATGTGTTACTTGTTCAATTTTATACAAGTTTAGGTGGCTACTTGTGCACACTCAAAGTTTGTGGACATAACTGTCTGCTGAAGCCAAGTTAGGGATCATGTTTATTTTTATGCCAAAGACATTTAGTGATAATAGATTTTCTGTCTATTAACGTAAAAATATTTAGCTATACAATTGAGCTTTATTAGTTTCATTGAAGAATAATATTAAGAGAGAATACTCACCAAAACAATTTGAACATTTGGATATTTGAGTGCAAGGGTCAATTCATCATCCCAGACAGTTTTGCAGTTGTTCTTCTTACAACTAGTCTTTACTTTCTATAAGACAATTGCAGAATATCAGTACAAATAACAGATAGTATTATTTAAACTTTTACATGATGAAACACCAAAAAGACGTATTCATGATTTTAACTTTATAAATTCTGGATTTAGAACAAGATAGTTTTTCAAGATATATTATTTATATACTTCATTCATATTTTTGTGAATATACTTGGACATAGGTGTCCGTACTAGCACGGGCACAATATCTGTTATTTTATGTCTCAGTTTATGTGATATAAATAGAGTTTAGATAGTCAACTAATTTTTAATATGATTTTTACATATTCTAAGTTGTTAATTATTGTGATTTATAGTACTTTTTAAATAATATATGTTATTCCCCTTGTCCTAATATATGTATGACATATAGAATTTCAAGAGTCCATCAAATATTGTTAATTATTGAGATTTACAATACGTTTTACTTAGTTTTCAAATTAAATAATACATGTTACTTCTTTTGTCCCATTTTATGTTGACACTGATAGATTAATTTCAAGAATTAGTTGAACTTTTTATATTTTTAAAAAAAATATTTTAAGTTGTCAATTATCATAATTTATAGTATTTTTACATAATTTTTAAATATATAAAAAAATAATAATAAGGGAAACAAATTAAAACGAAAGAATCACTAATAAAATTACACAAATACCCTCAAAGTGCTCAAGCAAGCATATTAACCAGTTGCCTGCTTGAGTACTTGAAACTCCCTCTTATAATATAGTAAAATTTGACAAGACAATGGAATATTACAAAAAAAAGAATTCTTTTTTAAAAAAACTTATTTTGGTAATAAATATTTATATGTAAAGGTAAGATGAGAGTTTTTGATTATTAAATATAAAAAAATATTATATTTGAGCGGACTAAAAAGAAAGAGTGACACAATTAATTAGACAAAGAGAATATATAAGTGAACTTCTTAGAAACTTTTTTAAACATAAAAACACAGTCTAAGACCAAATTGTTGGTTTTGTAACAAGTCCTATGACATAAAAGCAAGATTTCCTAAAAAGTTAAAGTCGTGGGTGATCAAGAGTCGTAACTAATAATTGTAATATTTTTCATATAAAAATATATGAGCTCTATCAACTATATCATCGAAAAATCAGTCTTAGATATACCTCTAAAAGACGATATATTTGATCATTCAATATGATCAAACTCATGAAATATGCAAAAAAAAAAGTTATCAAAGAAGAAGATATTATAACATGTAGGGGTGTACATGATTGGGTTGGTTCGGGTTTTTCAAATATCAAACCAAATCATTTGTGTAAAAATTTTAAATTTATAAACCAAACCAAACTAATAAAATTTGGATTTTTCAACCTCGGGTTGGTTCGGGTTTTTCAAATACCAAACCAAACCATTGTGTCGAATTTTTAAATTTATAAATCAAACCAAACTAATAAACCTCGGATTTTTTTAGATTTTTAGATTTTTTCGGTAAAGTTTGCATACAAACATATAATTAACTTGTGCTCCAAATATTCTTTAGTCCAACCAAAATACAATTATCTAAGGTGTTTCTTAAGAAAATAACACAAAATATGAGATGAGTACTGATGACACTAAA